CCCCAAAACCCCAAAACCCCAAAACCCCATGTTCTCTCATGATTAAAGGATTTGATCGATTGAAATAAAAAAAGATATATAATTTTCATGTTTGAAATTATAAATTTAATTGAAATAAAGTCATATTAGTTAATAAAAATATGCAAAAGCTGAACTAAATCAATACTCCGCAATAAAAGTAAACTGTGAAGCTAGAATCTGGCAAGAATCTTCACATATAGATAGTCAAAGGCAAAGCTCTTAATGATTCTGATGGTATTCATCCCTTGACTAATTTGGATTGTAGTTGATGATCATGGGCTAGATGAATTTGATGACAAACTTGGTTCAGATCATGAGAAAAACTTCTCTTAAACTCCTTAATCTCGAACAGGGAACCCTAGCGTAAGACCAAGCATTCAGACCATGAGTCTTAAATACACTTCAACACAATCTAAAGTACCTTTTCTCTATAATGTATCTATTTAGGCCTAGATAAGTAGTGAGTCTTAACAGCAGCACAGTACATTCTCGAATCATAATATGAGTCACGGATTAGCTCCTAAGATATTTTCTGGAGCTGGTAATAGAATAAGTCCTACCAGGAACTAGAATGCGTCGTTACATCTTGATAAGAAAGAACTAGATAAGAGAGACTAGCAAATGTAGCCATCATAAGTCACACTGACTTAAACCAATGATTTAAGCAGGAGAGCACAAGTATCAGCTAATGGAAATAAATATGATAGTAATACAGCCCTAGATAAAAAGATAAAGTTACCAACTCATAATCATCTATTTGTTGGAAGAAATGATAACTATGGCAAATCTGTTCAGAATAGCCCCTATATCAATCAATCTAAAAAGCTTCATTAAACGCAGCACATAGTGAACCAAGAGAAAACAGTACATCCCAGAGTAAATGGCTTACTTCAATCCAAATCCAGCTATGATGTGCCTCAAAAAAATAAATCAAACAGTACAGCCAAAAAGAATGGAAGATTATTTAACAAGACTGATATGATCAATGATTCAACCATTAGCGGTATTAATGGCGGAGGAAGTGAGAATAAAGTACTGAAAATAGTAAGAGCTAGACTTGAGAGAGACTAGTTTCTATTGCAAAGTCCAACTTACATAAGCAATCTAGACAGGTCTAACAAAACTATCTCCTATAACCCCACCAATGAGACTTAGAGAGAAACTTCCCCAGAGTTAGTACATAATAGCAAGTCTCTTAAGGTCTATAAAGATGGAAAAGTAATTTCTTACGGAGCTGGTCCAAGTTTGCTTACTCAAAAGGGTAATCGTCTAATGGAGGACAAGACTATTCATAACATCAACAACCATTACTACGATGTCAAAAAAAGATTAAACGTTCATGTAGTTAACAACAGCAGTTAAGGAGCAGGTAGGCAAGCATCTTAAAGTAACAATGATCTAGATCCTTTTGTGAAGAGGCAAATAATAGATGAACAGAGAAGAAAGCAATAGTAGCAGCAGTAAATTCAGCTTAAGGCTGAAAGGGATGAATAGTTGATTTAGGAGTAGATATTGAAAAAGCAATAGAGATAAGGAGGCTCGCTTTCAGATAGAGTGTAGGCATAGACATTTGATCAGTTTTATTAGAACTAGTTGCAGTTTAAAAGCAAGGTAGAGAGTTCAATAGAAAATAAGCGTAGAGAGGAAGCAATGAAGACTGATATAATGGGCAAAAAAGCCTGTCCAAAGCCATGCAAAGGTTCTGAGAGAATCATTTAAAAGTATAAGAAAAAGATATTGGAGACCGATAACCCGAGAGATGAAAGCAGTTCTATCAATAGGGACAATACTGAACAGGTTTATGACAGACTTTACAATAACTAGTCTTTAATTCCAGGCATCTAAAATAAGAAAAATTTCAGACCTGAGAGGTACGGGGTGAATTCTGAAATAGAGCGAAAAGTATCAAAAGATCATCAAGAAAAATACATGGAAAAACTTATGTAGGCCGGCAATGATAGAGAAGGAAGTGCTATAAGAAAGCATAGCGACTGGTTAATAAAATCTAGTCAGATGGATCTAGCTACTAGTAAAACTCACACTGATAAGATTATGTTTGATAAGTTGAGAAAGGATTTCACTAAGATTTGTAATTTAGAGATTTACTACGCTGCTCTTTGTTATGCAAGCAAGAGATAAGAGACTAATACAAATGAAATGATAGCTTCAATTACTGAGAAATTGTCAAAGGCTTAGTAGTAATCGATAACCACAACTACCACTACTACTACTACCACAACTCAGTCTGTTGCTTAAGTATCTATAAAAAATAGCAAGGTCGTTCAGACAAAGCCATCCAATAAGTCTTCCACAAAATCTGTGGTCACATCCACATTCTCTAAAAGCGTTATTATAAAGGAGGACTACTTGCGAAATAGTTTACTTAGAGGAACACCTATCAGGTATTCAAATTATGTTGCAGCTCTGCACTAGTTAGGCTATCTCTCAGATCCAAGAAAGATCACTACTGCAGAGGAGATTTAATTGCAAGAAATCTGGAAAATTTTAGGAGGAGTTAAATCTAAAGACCGCACTATAAAAGCTGAAAACCTGTTTATTTTCCTAGCTGCTCTCTTGAACATCAGATTGGCAGTAATGATACAGAGACATGATGAGGAAAAGTTGCCAGACAAACACAGGTTCGAGGGTTACCTTTGCTTTGACGAATTTGAAAACGCCCACTTTATTTGCCCAGATGACATTACCAAAGTTTATAAAAAATTCAAGCAGCTAGCTCTGAACAGACTTAATAGAAAGAGAGATGAGTCTTCAAAAAGAGTAGAAGTCTATCAAGATAAACCCTAGTTTGCAATTTCAGATAATAGTAAGGCTTATCTAGAGTTACTAAAGAAGAGAAGTGTTTCAATTGCAAGTGCGAGAGTTTAGATTAAAAAGACTTTGGCATACGATATTATAGAAGAAAATCCGACATTATATCCCAAATAAGCAAGTTATCCCAATAATCAATAGAGATCATCTAGAAATCAAAGTCCCTCCAGTAATTTGAACAGAGTGTTCTCATAATAAGACCTCAAAGATCACTCTAGAAGCTATGGGAATCCAAAGATTGCAGGTAAGGATGAGTATGAGACTCCAAACAAGACTCCTCTCTTTGGAAATAAAGCCAGAATGCAGCAAAACTCTAAAAAGATTGAGAATAGTTATGAGTAGATTAAAAAGTAATCCTTGCTTGATTCTAAAAACAGAAATAATAGTAAGTATGTATAGAAAAAGCTCTCAGAAGCAGAGATTTAAGAGCTTATCAATCAGAAATTCAATAACGAAAAAAAGGGAGAGCTGAATCAGAATACTTCAATGGATGAAGACAAGGCTGAATCTGTGTTTAGTGGAGCCAGCCGATTAAAGAGATCTCCTATAAAACAATATGAAAGTATCATAGGCCCAGAAGTCTAGAAAAGAGGCCAAATATAAAAAGTTGAACCAGTTCAAGATGACCCTCAGATGATGTCCTCAATAATGGATGATAACTCGAGATTAGAATTCTCTCAGCAGGACTTCATTAATGCTCATGACTTGGTCGGACATAACAGAGTCCAGAGCCAATTAGAAACCAATCAAGAGAACAAGCTCAACAATCATAACAACTACACTTATGATTAATCTCAAGATCCTGAGGGTGAGCATCAGGCCAACGATGAGGAAATGGAGGAAGAATACGATATGGACATTGAACTGAATGTCATAGATGTAGATACTTCCGAGCTATATGATAGAGAATCACTGCAGAGTCACGGGTCTATTCACTCAAATTATAAGCAATTTGCTTTATAAAGTAAGTATGATTTTTAATCTATTGTATAAAGCCCCTAGTGATAGTAACACTATAATATTCAAACATGCTAATTACCATTTTGTAGAAGTGTAGCACTTGAAGGTGTACTCTTTCAAATTTGGTGAGGACGAGCCTCAAAGACTTATAATCTACGAAGATGATGATCCCCAGAAATTAGCACTAAGATTTGCTTAGAAATGCGGGTAGGGAGATGAAGTCAGAGCCACAATTGAGGGCATCATTGAAAATGACATAATGGGTGGAGATGACCAGCAATGAATCTCTAATTGATGATTTGAGGTTAAATGACGGTGGTTTAATGATGAAGTAAAAAGAGTAAGAAAATCAAGAATAAGCATTTAATTATTTATTTATTTATTAACAAAATACTTAAGTTGACAATTTTTAAATGAATTTTTATATATGGGGTTTTGGGGTTTTGGGGTTTTGGGG